CAATTCTACCAAAAACAATGCGACTATTAACCCAGGAAGCAGCTGCTATTGCTAATGCTATCATAACTTAGCTTAATTTTTTTCCTTATTGAAACAATGCATCTTTTTTTTCAGGGTATTTTATGCCTTTTCCTTCAAGTCATGAATTTACAATAAGAGTCTCAGGCTGGTGTAAACTAAACAGATACCATATGAATATTAAAACCATGTAAGAGTGTCAGTTCTGCTATTTGCAGCTGTATATCCTTCTCCAAATGCTGATGATATGCTTTCAGTGTTTCACATGGGAAACAGAAAACAGTGTTTCATATTTTCAAAGAAAACCCTCCACTGAGCCTACAGGGATATTTCTCTCCTCCTACTAGTTTAAAGTCTAATCTCAGAAGCAGGTGAACAGCAAGGGGGACACCACTAGAGGACCCTTAGGATGATCATTTGCCAATGAATAGAGTCTGCCCTGAGGTGACTTTTACCATACAGAGTTATGAACATGAGTCTATTTGAGGCAATGAGATTTCTTTTTTGAAACCTCAGGAACTTAACTCCTTACTTCAAAGAGCTTAGTCCTGAAAGATATAAACCTACAAAGACTAATCTTTGACATACCTTAGACAGACATATCTTGAACTACATTCTTCCATAAATTGTTATTTAATTAAAGTACTGTCTTATCATGCCTTAATCACAAACTCCTTATATACACTGAAGATGGGGAAAAATTCCTCAACTTTTTGTCTGGAGACATCTGATATACTTACTTGGGCCACAAGCAACACACAATTTTTCACAGGTGAGCAAAACTAGTCATGAAAAAAAATACCCTATACCTTTGTAATCAAAACCAGAGGACCATACCTTCACAGCTTATCAGCTAAGGCCTGCTTACTGACATTCTGACATCTCCACCTACTAGAAGGTACTCCAGCAGTTTTATACTAGTGAATTATTTTATGCTGTCAACAAAAAGGATAAAAACTAGCAGGAAAACAACATACTGTCTACACTGAAAGCTAATGTCACACCCTTTATTTAAATACGTGGTCCAATTAGAATTACTTAAAAAAAATAATTATAGAAGTAAAAGCTCGCTTTCTGCAGGTCAACATGGTGCTAATAACACCAAGGCTGTGGTTTTGATCCCTGTATGGGCCATTCACTTATGAGTTGGACTCAATCTTTGAGGGTCCCTTCCAACTTAGAATATTCTGTGAAATCTGTGAAACATGTACTTTTCGCCCTTGTGTTTCATTCAGACTAGAATCACAGAATGTTTTGGGTTGGGAGAGGACCTTAAAGATCATCTAGCACATGCAAAGTCTTAAGCGATTATAAAAAAAATAAGATTAGCAGTAACTTTCCTTGCATTTCATGTTTCCTGAAGCAAAACGATATCCTGAAGTTCACCTAAGCGAGCAAGAGCGATTAATTTCCTAAAGCTCCCGTTTCCGCAGCTTCAGCATCTCAGCATCAGCTTCAGACCTGCTAAGGCCTGTTTATTAACTGTGTTGACGACAGGAATATTTTATGATTGAAAGGAAGAGCAGAGACAGTATTCTGTCACGGGCCGGGCGGGGAGGCACCGAACCAGCCAGCCCCCTGCGCTGCGCTCACCCCAAGGAGCTCAAGCGCTGCGGCCGCTGCCCCGGCCCGCCCTGCCCCGGCTGCCCGGCGGCTCCCCGCCCCGGCCCCGGGCCCGGGCCCGTCACTCACGGCGCCTCCCCGCGCTCCCCTCACGGCCTGTCCCCGCCGCAGCCGCGCCCGCAGGCGCTCCCCGTAGGGCACAGCCCGGGCCCTCCACCATGACCACCCCTCCCCGCTCTCCGCCGCCGCCTCCCTTCGAATCTCCCGCTCGCCCGGGGCGGCGCCGCCTCCGCGCCGCGGAAACAGCACCTCACATCCTGTGTGTGTCCTGCGGAGGCGCGGCTTTGTGGCGCTCTCGCATAACCTCGTTAGCTCTTGCAGCCTTCCCGAAACACTCGCACAAGTGCGTCTTCCTTTAAGACTCGATGCACAGTTAGAATTTAGTTTAAGTCTTTGTATGTAATATGTTTTTGCAGTCAGTCCAGCTTTACGCAAGGAAAATGCTCCTTTCCCTACTGCACTTGAAGCAAGAATGGGCGTAATAAACTACGAGCTCTAACAGATTAGAGGCAACTTAAAGTATAAGGTA